CTGGCCTCCGGAGAGCTGTGTTCCCCTGTCACCACACCAAGTATCGTATCCATCCTTTAGGCCTGTAATAAAATCATGAGCATTGGCTGCGCTGGCAGCTTCGATGATCTCGGACTCGTTGACTTCACCTGAGGCTCCGTACGTAATGTTCTCCTTAATGCTACCAGCAAATAACGTGGGCTCTTGGCTAACAAGTGCAATGTGTTTTCTTAGTGCCTTAAGGTGGTATGATCTTATATCCCGACCATCAATTTTTACTACACCTTTAAGTGGATCATAAAATCTCTCAATCAGACCGATTATTGTTGATTTTCCGGACCCACTTTGTCCCGCCAATGCTGTTGATTTCCCTGCCTCGATCCGGATTGAAAAGCCTTTGAAGATCATCACGTCGGGCCTAGCAGGATATGCAAAATCAACATCGCGTAGCTCCACATGGCCCGTTATTTTCTCAGGTTGGTGACCATCTGGATCTTCGGGTTCTATTAGGGAATACCGATCCAACACAGCAAAGACCGACCCAACTGCATCGGAACCTTTGGCAAGGTCAGTAGTCATAGATCCGGCATCGGCTATGACACGGCCGGTGCTTACTAAGATCATGAAGGTTTCGAAAAGTGCTTTGGCCCCAATGTATCCCTCAGCAATGAGTTTGCCACCGTACCAAAAGTCTAGTGCCCAGGTGCATGTCATGAGACTCTGAGAGGTACCAAGTCCAAGACCTGCAAACCACGATTGTCGGATACTTTCTAGTTTCGGGCCTTCTTGAGCTTTTTCGAGCAATTGGAGAATTCGGGCTTGGGAGGAAAAGGCAGTGACGGTTCGAAGGTTAGAGACAGCTTCGGCAGCAAGCTTGCTACTTTCATCTTGGGCTTTGACAGCTTTTTGGGACATGCTTTTGAGTAGGACACGCTTGCAATAGTAGCAGATAATGATGAGTGGTTGGACGGCTATCATGACCAGTGCAAGCCTCCAAGCAATGATCAGGCCCATGGTGCAAGCAATCGTCACTGCTGAGAGGGTTTGGATAACGAGGGCCATTCGATCACCAACCAATGATTTTACCTGTAAATTATAAAACACCAGAGAGTTTGTTTTCAGATAAATAGAGATCGTTCTCATTTCTAACCACCCACACGTTCGTTGAAATAACTCATATACAAACAATTACTCGTACATATCACACATCGAGAGTCTTATTAATCATGTTTAATAGTGCTTATTTAACAATNGTTCGTTGAAATAACTCATATACAAACAATTACTCATACATATCACACATCGAGAGTCTTATTAATCATGTTTAATAGTGCTTATTTAACAATCAATATATAAACTCCTGGAAAGAAAAACAGGAGTAGTAGACATACCACATTGGCATCTTTAGCAAGCCTGGAGCAAATAGCACCACTGGCATTCTCATCCTTATCAAACCAGCCCACTTCGAAAGTGAGTATCTTGGAAAACATCCTCTCTCTAATCCTCTTGGTCAAGTATTCCCCCATGGCTGCGAAATTATAATGCTGACTTAAATTTATCAATAGCGAGAACACCGCCAACCCGACAAAACACAATGCATAAATTCTTGTCTTCCTTTTGATCTCACTATGATCCGGCAAGAAATACACTGATACCATCGAGCCCATTGCAAAAGCATACACCGGCTGAATTCCACCAAACAAAATCGCACTTACACTACCGACTGTTGCTTGTTTCCATTCAGGAAGATTCATAGCTAACAATCTTCGAAAGGAAGGTACTGAAAAAATCTGATCACTGGAAAGTGCAGCATACTCTCCTCCTCCACGGCTTGGTGCAGCTGAGTTAGCTGAACTAGACCGGCTCACCATTGACAGTCTTCGACTACTTGTATTTTGCATATCTATGTTTGCAAGGGACAATGATGTTGAAGCATTGCTATTTGTAATTGAAACTTCCTCTCTGTTTCTCTTAGTTTGTTGAAGGCGCACAAGTGATGTGTATAGGCCATTTTCGTCTTGGATCAACTCATCATGCGAGCCGGTCTCCATGACCTGGCCATTCTGGACAACAGTGATAAGGTCCGCATTTCGGATGGTGGATAGGCGGTGAGCGATGATGATGGTGGTGCGGCCCACGGCAGCCTTGTCCAGTGCTTCCTGCACGGCTCGTTCAGATTCCGAGTCCAACGCGCTGGTGGCTTCATCAAGTAGGAGTAATCGAGGTGCCTTGATTATGGCTCTTGCAATTGCGATTCTCTGCTTCTGTCCCCCTGACATCTGAACACCTCTCTCACCAACCTGCATATGCAGATGTTCATATTTTTATTAGTTCTTAGTAATCCCTTGTTCAATTAGCAAAACCAATGGTACTCTATAGATCGCGTTTAAAGAAATTGTTTCCAACCAAAAAAAAAAGCAAAACCAATGGGGTACGCGGCAAGATCTGGGGATTGTTTTGGAACTGTCAAAAAGCACAAGCCAAAGCAGTGCCACGGGATTTACCTAGTATGCACTAGGACTGTTAAGGGATCAAAATTTGGTCAGAATCCAATCCTTTGACAAGCCAAATATGTGGTTGAAAAAAAAAAAGACTGGCCTAATATGGACAAATATGATATTGTTAGGATCTCATTGTTATTNCTAGGACTGTTAAGGGATCAAAATTTGGTCAGAATCCAATCCTTTGACAAGCCAAATATGTGGTTAAAAAAAGAAAAAAAGACTGGCCTAATATGGACAAATATGATATTGTTAGGATCTCATTGTTATTAAGTAACATATTACGGGACGAACAACTGGGACTAGTCAACTTTGTTAATAACTAAGGGTAATCCGTGCCTAAAGGTACAGTGCAATGTGAATAGTTTTGAAAGAAATGTTGATGACCATTGAATAAGTCTATTTGAGACCGCCACGCCTGCCCTGTTTTATATTATTGATTTAGCACAACTTACTAAGAAAATAATATGGTAAAAGAACCAAGCTGCTTTCTTATTCCCTCCTCCATATTAAAAAAGAGCAAAAGAGAAGTACATGAAGGTGGTAATATTGGTAGACCAGCCAGTAGAGATGCTCCACACAAATTTCTTATTTTAATATAGACAATCAAGTCTTACATGACATAGTGGTCTTGTGTAAGCATAAACATTTAGGAGGATGGATGTAGACATTGATTCCTATCATTTTGTACATAAATATTAGGAGATTGGTTTATAGATTCTGGTGTAGGGAAACTTTCAGCACTAGTCAACTCAACCATATCAATCCTTGGGAAGTGCCTGCTTGGATAGGCATGGTATGATGAGTAGAATGAGCCAAGCCTGGGCACAGCTAACGCATGCTTAAGTGGTGCTAACAGTTGTCGGATGCTTCGTCAAGAATCTTGGTTCATCTAAGCATTCAAGGAATCATCAAGAATCTTGGTTCATCTAAGCATTCAAAGAATGGTCTCATAGGCAAATCCTATGCCCACAGAGATTCAATGATTATGAAACAAGCTGTGGACGGATAAAAAAATGGGTATTCCTCAGGGAATTTGTTACCCACTTCCCAAAACCTCTCCTATGATTATGCCAGACTACAGCTAGTCAGCTACACAAAAGGAATATATTTCAACAATTATGGTACCCTTTATAGACCCCACATTCAGCTTATTATATTTCATAGCCTGTTAATGATTTAACCATAACCAAATTTCAGAATTAACAGGTAAAATTTTTACCAGGTAAAAGGAAGACAACAAAGCTTAGAGGACAAGCATAACCAACCTGGGTATCATAACCCTGAGGCAACTGACAAATGAAGTTATGAGCATTAGAAGCTTTGGCAGCCTCAATAACTTCTTCCATTGAAGCGTCTTCTTTGCCAAAAAGTATGTTCTCTTTGATTGAGGTGGCAAATAGTGCAGGCTCTTGACTAACTAAACCCATCTGTGACCTTAGCCACTTGAGCTGAAGCTTATCAATGGCGACTCCATCCAGAAGAATCAAACCTCCAAGAGGGTCATAAAACCTCTGCAAAAGTGCTATCACTGTGGATTTTCCGGACCCACTTCCTCCAACCAAGGCCACTGTTCTGCCTGCAGGAATTGTCAGGTTAAAATCTGCAAAAATTATGGTTTCGGGTCTTGATGGGTATGCGAATTCAATATGTTTGAATTCAACTTCCCCAGAAACGTTTTGTAAAATTTGGCCTTCCATGTTCTCTGTATCAATTTTGGGGACTCTTTTTATTACTTCCAATATGCGTTCACCGGCAGCACTTGCATCGGAGAAGTACTTCACGTTGGATAAACCAGAACCAAATGCCCTTATCATCAAAGAACAAGAAAAACAAATTACTTCACACATCAATAGGGTTTTTCTGAAAACAGTGAATATTTACAGTCTAAGTCCACAATTACATCTAAGAAAACTCATCTTTGGAAGTAATCTCAAAACATGCATTTAATTTTCAGAACAAATGCAAAATTTAAGTCGAAAATAGTAAACACATTCAATCAATCAATCTTCTGAAAAACTAAAGAATTTAGAAATATAAGCTAGAACAGAGGGAAGAACAAAATCATAACCATTTTTGTCTGAAGTTCAGTCCTGCCTTATATGTGTGGAGCTGATAAGCGAAATGCCAGTGGATAGAGCCATAACCAAACACAGGATAATTCTTTTGTTCGTTATGGAAAGAAAAACGTTTCTGTAGAAACTGTCAAATTATGCTTTTTTCGCAGCAAAACAAAGATACACATCAAGTATATTTGTGAAAAAAGCCAACAGATTTACGAATTTACTGCGAAATATCGGAAACAAATGATGATATTATGCATGTTACGTAGAAAATAAAGATACCCATCAAATAGATTCACGAATTTACTGTGAAAACTGGAAATAAATCGTGAATTAATGCATATTTCCTAGAAAATAAAGATATCCATCATATATTTGTCAAAAAAAGGCACCGATCTACGAATTTACTGCGAAAAATTGGGGGAAAAAAAACGAAACGCAGAGATGGTAGAGATGCTTACAATCCGCCGATGGTAATGGCTGCCCCAACCGCAAACACTGTGCCTCCATGAGCCCCATGATACATGACCATTCTGCTACCATAATAAGACATGAAAGCCCAAATCGCATAGACAATTCCATTGCTACCAATGGCCAAACCCTTTGCTAAGCCTTGCCTCAAACCCAAATTCACAGTCCCTTGAAGAGAATCAGAGTACTCAGCAACAGTTTTATTCTCTCCAACAAAAGAATAAACAGTTCTGACAGAAGATAGTGCTTGTTCTGCTATTGTACCCGCCTTACTGTACTCATCTCTCATCTTTCTGGCTATGCTCATAAGTGTCCTTCCGTAGATTAAACCTGGTATAATTAAAAGCACTACAAATGGAACGCCCACAATGGCTAGTCTCCACAGCATTATGAATGCCACTACATAGGCCCCAGCAAATGTAGCTACGTTCATCACGAAAACTGGAACCTATTCAGGATTCAAAAATGGTAAAATAACTTAGCCTCAAATCATATGATTATGCAGTTGAAGACCAAGAAAAAATATATAAATTCTGGGTATTGAAATTTGAATCCACATCTATACCAATATACCAACCTTTTCGCTAATGACATCTTGAATTACAAGACTATCAGAAGAGACACTTGCGATGATCTCGGCCGTGCTTGTCACGTGCAAATCAAAGTAGCCCACATCTTGCCTTAACACAGCTTTCAGATATCTGGCCCTGAGTCTTGACGCTTGTCTCTGTGCTGTTCTTGTCCAACAGTACCCCTCTAAAATTCCAAGTTCAATGGGTAATAAATCAGTAAAGTTAAAAAAAAAACCCATTAAATCTCCAATGAATCTTACAGAAGAATATCAAAAGAATATATCAAAAAACAGAAAATTTGAGATTAGAATGAAACCTACCTAGGAAACAACCGACCCATTGCCCACAAGCCAGGTAACACATAACCAATGCATTCTGTCATCCAAGAAAACCAAGCCCCAGTTAGCTACACATCAAACATTCTAAGGTACCCACTCAACAACCACTTGATAGTTATATTACTATATATTTATATTATATATGTACAGAGAGAGAGAGAGAGAGAGAGAGACCTTGTTGATGTTTTGAGTGAAATTTGCGGAGATTGAAGTGGTTGAGTCACCAAGATTGTTCATGAGTTTACTGGTTACAATCAACATAAGCGGCATGGAAATCCCATCACATATGGCTCCAAAGAAGCCAAGAGCCATCAACAAGAAGTCTATACGATCCGCGTGCATGAAAATGGATCGAAAAGACCCATTCTTCTTCTGGATTGTCTTGTTTTTGTTAGTAGTACCCATTTTTTTTCACTCACAAGCTCTCTATGTTTATGGGAATAAACAAAAACAGTGAGATTTTCAAAGAACCAAACCCTCTTAAGTTGCTGTTCTGAAGTTGCTTGCTTCCAAGAAGTCTGTCATTTAACTACTGAGACAAAAACAAATGCTGAGATGGTGAGATATATATAGTTGCTTTGGTAATGAAAGAGTTTAGTTTATGTTTTTTTTTTTTTTTGTCAGGAGGTTTGTTTATGTTGATAGCATGTATATGGGTGTATACTATTAAAATGAAGTTCGATGTCCATGTGCTAGGTCGGGCAGAAGATCACGGTTGACTTTCAAGCTTTCTAAGATGTCGTCATTAATGACGATGGTCACCTGAGGGGAATTATTGGATTCTACTCCCTAGCATCTCCAGCATCACATATCCGGTGCGAGTTAGTTTATTAGGTCTGACCTTATTAGGACCAATAATTAAATCAAATTTTTTGGATTCGAGTCAAATAAAATTCGATTCAAGTTCAACTCGTGTTCTAAACAAATTTCATTTAAATATGTTTTTAGACTTGGTCTAAACTACTAAAGTATAGCTTGTTTATATGTAAAATAGTCTAGTTATTCGAATTCGACTTATTTTGACTCGGTTCATTTTTTAAACGATTCAAATTTGAACAATTTTTTAAATTCATTTAAAAAAACAAGAGTTTGACAAACTCTGTTCAAGTTTGTAAAATTCAACTCGATCAACACCCTTATTAGGTTTGGATATTGCCTTAACCAAAATATATAAGCAAAAAAAAGAGATGAAGCTTAAGTAGCCGTGGGTGTCCAGGGCGAAACTGCAAAATTTGTTGTAGACACAACAGCTTGTCTCGTTGGCTACTATTTCTCTAATAATCCATGGTGGGTATTTTACAATTTACTTTAAACAATTTCATTTTCTTATATAGGATTGCTGGAGTGGGGTGAATTTAGTATTTGGGCGGTTGCGCTCACCGAAATTTTAAAACAATTTAGGACTTAGTTGAATTTTTAAAAATTTCAAAATTTTTTGAATCTTTTCCCTGTTAAAATTTTTATAAAAATACAGGGAGAATTAGTGCAATTTTTCAAACAATTAAACATAACTTTCGTAACTCACTCACGTCCTTTACTTGTCTAGGCGTTTTTTTTGTTCGAACTTTAGTCTTTGTGACTCTACCTTTCTTCACCGGCCCTTATTTTTTTCCTGCCTTTGATTTCTTGAAAACTTTGGTATATTCGTCAAAAAATCGGTTTACTTGGTTATTGGTGTTGGGGTATATAGTAATAATTATCTCACCAAAATCACAAAAACAAAACTCAAGAAAAACAAAAAATGACTGGTTTTTGTTGTAATGTATCAATTTAATTTCAACACAAAATAAAGCATGAAAAGGACAAAAAATTTACTGCAGTAAATCACACAAATTCCACTACAAAAACTTATCTATTAATTTCAATTAAAAATTCAGTACAACAAGATCCAAATACAAGAGAACTTGATCTGAAATTTCAGCAATAAATACACACAAGTATTGTGGATTTATAGATTAAATTTTAATAATATGTAATACATTATGTCATTCGTTACGAACTTAAAAGACAAACTATTAAATTAAAATCTAATTAGACAAATTCATTTTTTAATTAGTTACAGATAAATTTCTTGTAAGAAAATCAACAATAGAACAGCCGTCTCCTAGTCAAGAAATAGATGATTTTTTTGATGCGAAGTCTTTTTTGTTGTTTTTTTTTTGTACATTGCTTATATATATGAGTTGAGCATTTAAATGACACTTTTTTGATGGAATTACACACAAAAAAATTAATTAAGAATATAAATGTTGATGAAAATAATGTTACGTTTATACTTTAAATTTAAGAATTTTAAGTTGTCCCACTGAAATAAAATCCTGGCGGGCTCTGTCCCTATCGTTGGAGACCTAATGTGTTTGAAAACGGGGAAAATAGGTTTCAACAAAAGTATGGTTGTTGAGATATTGGCAGCAAATGTGAACTCTTCCCATAGGCTGATTGAAATCGATTAATAAAGATTTTATTGATCTGGTATATATCACGAGAAATAACTGACCACCGCCATCCCCAGTCTGAATGTGCATTAAATTAAATCATGTTATGTTAGATTTCTTCGTGTTTAACTTGTATCATTTCAAAAAATTTTCAATTAATTTATAGTCATTTATAACTAAGTTATAACTGAATTAATGTTGACGAAGTCCCAATTTGGTTATGATTCAAACTTTTTAAAGATTATTCGTTCTAACCAGAAGAAAAACAATTGTATCTGAACTCAAATTTTATCGAAAATGATGGCTATTGCCACATAAAATGAATTGACACCTGGGAATGTTAAATTTTTTTTTTTTTTGGGGGGGGGGGTTGTAATTGGAATGTTGGCTTTGGAAATGTGATAGGATGGAGCAATACTATCAACATGGCTGCTTTATGCTTGCCAAGTTGAGTACCAATTCCGTTACATGTCCTACGAATATTTGAGGATAAATTTCTATGTGTTTCATCAATGAACATGCTTGGCAAGTTGATGAAGAATTCTATCAACTCTTTGGGGAACAAATGACGATTGGGAATATCACTAAATTTCGTAATCCCACTCTTGTAGTGCAGTCAATTGGATTTTGTTATTATTTATTTATTTATCTTTGGTGAAAACAACGTGTAGTTTAGATTCTAGAAATCTTTCTCTCTCTCTCTCTTGTCTTAATGAACAAATATTAGGTGTAACAGTGACATCACGTCAATATTAATACGTAGTGTTATTATTCAATAATAAACTTACACATGAACAGAGTGATTATTATAATATATGGGATCCATGTATTTATTTGTTATATTTTTATTGAATGATAATAACACGTGATAATAATAATATTGTGTCACTGTTATACATATCTCTTGGATTTATCAATATTATAGGAACACCCTCTTGATATATATATATATATATATATATGTGTGTGTGTGTGTGTGTGTGTGTGGAATTATACTATTTAAAAACACCATGTGGTAAGATCTATTGACAGTTCTAATGGTCAGAAATGGAATATGCACATTGAGTGATTAAGTTGAAAATTTTCTCTGGCATAAAGGGTATTTGTGTCCATAAATAAATTTAAGTCATTATTTCCTCTGTAACTTAAAAATTAGCCATCCTGCAAGACCAGGAGGTCAAATAAATAAATAAAGAGAAACTACTTTGTGTTGGTCCAAAATAACCAATGTTATTATTCTTAAATCTTCTTCTTTGAATACGGAAAATTCTCATTGTCTGTCCTCAACGAATAGAAGTTTGTTTATGTTGCTCAAACTCGTGATTGTAAATATAATCAAGGGCAATGTATGGGTGAACAAATCGGTCCTTCAACTCATACATCAATTAAATCAAAACTTGTATTTTGTCGAAAACTTAAGACCCACACCAAAAATTTAAATAAGATTCGTTTAAGTAAATGAAATCTACTCTTACTAAACAACCACGTTTTTTTTTTTTTGACTTCCAACCCCTGATCTCCCGGTAGGAAGCCGGAGGAGGGGCTGGCCAACTGGGCTAGCCAGTTGATTATTCTTAAATCTTAATCAATCCCGATCATTCATTCCAAAATGGGAATCGTATGGGGCTGGTAATCATAGGTCAATTGGGACCCAGTTTGTTTATGATGAGGTACTCACTTACATCAGGTCACCCACTTCAGGACCAATCATGGTTCACTCACCCATGCTATAAAAGTAAGCTAAATTAATTAAGGTACTATTTAATAACATCTTTTTAGGTGATTTTTCAAGTAATATAATTTTGTAATATTTAATTAATTTTTTAAAAAGTACATAAGTTGTTTCCTCTGCATACATATAAAATATAATACTTTGGTTCAATGTTCAGAAATATTTGAATTAACTTATGTACATTTCGATTAATTTTTTCCTTAGTTTGGTTAAAGGTAAGTCATTCACATCGACACTAAAGTATTCATGAGAGATAAAATTCATCATAATCTAGTTTCAAAGAATTTTTACAATTCGAATTCAGAATGTCTAAATTTACAACTCAATCCTTATTACTATTTGAATTATCTTTAGGGTTAATATAATTGGATCAAAGGATTTGGGGGGATTACATGGGGGATTGGATTAAAATGTTGAATGGATTCACTTATCCTTGGTTTAGGTGAATTTTTGGGGGCGGAATTTTCGTTGTTTTTCATTTCCTAGACCTTATGTTTTGAAGGATATAATCCCCTATACAGGCATTGAACAAACCCATGGCACATGTGGGAGTGTGGAATGAGAAGTGAGATTAAATGCAAAATATCTAAAATACCCTCTACAGTATATTCTAAGGTTTTTTACCTTCCATTTCCCCTTTTATTCTAGGCAATCAAGGGTGGTTGCTCCTCTCTGAAAGCCAATGATTTCGCTCTTCTGTAAACCAACAGCCCTTCTTCACTCTGTTCTGAAGAGTGTCCATGGGCTATATATATATATATATATAAGAATTTATTATCTCGATTGTATAATGTTAAAATTTTCTCTAAATTTAAATTAAAGTCAAGTTATTGGCAAATTCAAGACTTAAAAGAAGAAGTTCATAATGTTAAGGAAGACATAAAAGTATTTTAAATATTTTTTTTTCTCCTATAATTAAAGTATAACAATTTTGTACGTCATTCATTACTTAAGATATCAAAATGAAAAACCTTCACATGAAAAAGAACGTTTAGAAAAGAAACACGTGCTTTTTGAAATTTTTGCGTACAAAAAGTCACCATGGTTCATGGGGGGTGAGAAAAGGGTGGATATTTGGGTTACTTTTTTACTACTTTTATTTCTTAAAATTCCCACTTTGAATGTTCGTTATTTTGACTCGTAATGTTCGACCCACAAAATGGAGTTTGATACAAATTGTTAGGTCATAATTAATGTCAACACCACTAAGCATAGGCTCAACGTTGGTTGTTAGACTGATATATTCTGAGAAATTGGTTGAGGGAGAGGACTTTAGGGTACAACATTTTGACATTTTTGGTTTGTGTGTGGGAAAATAAAAAATTTAAGCGTAACAAACAAA